GCGTGAGTTTAAGCCACTGGGTCCAGGTCTTGACCCGCGGTCGACTACATGGGAATCCAGCGACATAGCCATTACGCTAACTGCTGGTCCTGGAAGTCCATCACTCTTAACCACCATACCACCTGCCAGCCACTCTTTTTCTGTTTAGAGAGATTTTTGGGGGCCCGCCGGTGGCATGGTCATCTGCTGGTCCCAAGCAGCATCTTTCTAACCTTAGAGGTAGTTGAGATTGGAACCCAGAAAAGAAACCAGGAAATCTGAAGCCTCCATTTCTAATGCTGGGAGTCAGGCATTCCACTTCAGTCTGTCCAGACCCTGGAGCGTCAGCTCCTTTCTATGGGTTCCCGAGGCACCATAGGAAGGACATTGGGAAAGACAACTGAGAAGAAAAATTAAAAACAACAAAAAACCCTTCCTGAATCAGGTTTATTTGCATTATCAAGGGACAGTGAAGATCAATGACTGATCACTGACCCCTCAAAGTTCAGCATGGGTGGGATGGCAGAGTGTGTCTTTCTCATAGGTCATGCTCTGCAGCGAGGCTCTGGGAGAGGGACTATGAGTGTAACACCTGGGAGAAAGCATTTGGGTTTTGAGTCAGACAGCCCTGAGTTCAAGCGCAGTCTCCTTACTAGCTCCTTGCACTGGAGGGGCTTAAATCCATTTGAGAGCCTATCAGCTCAGGGGCCTTACTTACCTTATAGGGTTGATATGTAGATTACATAAGAAATCAGGGCCAGCCAGGTTGCATGGTAGTTAAGGTGGCTGGATCCCACAGGCTTACTATGTGGTTCGAGTCCCAGACCTAGCAGCTTGAAAAAAGTGATGAGTGAGGCCGGCAGGTTGGGGTCGCTGGACTCCCACATGGCTGACTGTGGTTTGAGTCCCGGACCTGGAGGCTTTCTTGCTTTTCTCTCTCTCTCTCTGGAAATACTGAAATAATAATGATGAATTAAAAAAAAAGTTCGATAGGATAATTCTGTAAAAAAAATTTAAAAATGCTGGGTGCATGTATGTGCATGCCCAAAATCCTGAGAGAAGCATGGAGGGGGGAGGGGTTGTGTTATGGCTGGCCCTGGGGGTGGGGGTGATGGGTTGCTTTCTCACACTCTCCGCCGGTCTTTCTCTGGTGAGCTCATGAGCCCTATAGTAAATTTAAAAAATAAAATAAAATATATGTAAAGCCACTGTTGAATAAGCCTTTGATAAATGTTATTTCCCTCTCTGCACTGCTACCCAACCCTGGCCAGAGCCTGCATTAGACTGCCCCCCACAACATGGTACCCTAATGTCCCTGCATTCACAAGGCCCGCAAAACCTCTGCACGTGCACCACCCACTCATGTCCTCCGTTGCATTTGCACACTCATCGGCACACACACAACAGCCCTGTATGGTCACAGCTGAGTGAGGGGCCTTCCCAGACAGGTAAGATAAGCAACAGACTTAAAGATTGAATGAGCTGTGGGGGCACCCTTCACAGTAACTAGCTTTGCCCTTGAGGCATTCTGGAAAATCTGTGAAAGGAGAAGAGAGGTGCTAGAGATACCCATTTTTCTTTTTTTTTTTTTTTTTTTTTTTTTTTTTTCTTATAGGCTGCCAGAAAGACAGAGAGAGACAGAGAGATAGAAAGTGAGAAATCACCCCCCAGGGGGGATGGCCACGCCATAATCCCTTCTCCTCCATTCTCCTCTCGGGATCTTGGGCACGCACGCACACGCACCCAGCGTGAGTTTAAGCCACCGGGTCTGGGACTGGAACCGCAGTTGACTACATGGGAGTCCAGCGACATAGCTGTTATGCCATCTACTGGTCCCAAGATATCCATTTTTCAAGAATGTCAGTTTCTGTAGCCTCAATCTTCAAACTGCTGGCTTCTCACACTTCCATCTGGCCCCAGCCCCATTTTCTCGTCTCTTGTCTGTCCCTGAAGTCCCCCTTCACCCTCTCAGTGGCAAGGGCTCTGCTCACCCATTAGGGACTGTTTGAGCTGGGAATCTTCTAAGGAGTGGGAGTGACACTACAGACACTTCCCCAGGACTGAATGTGTTTCTTGAGGATGCTTTGTGTGCTGCTGCCAAGGAGACCCTCAGCTGTGACGAGGGAGCTGTGCTGTCTGATACGGTAGCAGCTGGCCATGCCTGTGGGCTCTACAAAGGCAGCTAGTGTAACCGAGGAGTGGAACTTGACATTTATGCATTTATTTATTTTTATAGTTGCTATTTGTCTTTTAGAATTATTTATTTGTTATCTTTTTTTTTTTTTTTAATTTTGACCAGAGAGAGAGAAAGAGACAGAGCAAGCTGCCGGGTCTTGGACTTGAACCACAGTTGACCATGTGGGAGTCCAGCACCCTTAACCACCATGATACCTGCCAGCCCCACATCTATTTAATTTTAATTAAAGTGTAAAACACACTTGCTTTGGTTATTGGACATTGTTTTTCTTGTTTCTGTTTTTATAGTTTTTCTATAGGGTGTGTGTATTCACCAGAGAGACAGGGAGAGACAGAGAGAGACAGAGAAATCATTCCTCCCCACAAGGGGAATGGCCATGTTGCAGTCCCTTCTCCTCCAGTCTCCTCTCAGGATTTTGGGCACCCATCCATATGCCCCTGGCGTGGTTTACAAGTTTGGGACTCAAACCATGCAGTTGGCCGTGTGAGATTCAGCACCTTAATCACCACGCTACCTGCTGCCCTTATCGGAAGACGTCTAAGTATGTCTGGAACAACTTGGACATGTGACTCTACTTTTTCACAGTGACATCTGTTGACATCTAAATCCAGGTAAGATATTTCTGGTGAAAATTTACTGACCAAACTGAAATGTGCTATGAGTGGGAACTATACACTAGATTTCAAAGACCTAATACGAAAACGTGAGTGTGTAATCGCTGATGTTTATATTGATAACATATTGAAATGACAATACTTTGGGTACATTGGATGAAATAAAATATAACGCTTAAAATAAATTGTAGCTGCTTCATTTTGACTTTAAAATGTGGTTATGAGAAAATCTGAAATATATATGTGTATGCATATTTTGTTTTGCTGGTGCATGTGTATTTTTTGCTTTCATTTTATTCATTAATTTAGTTTTCTGTAGGATGCATGCACTTGCTGAGCGAGACATGGGGGGGGGTGAGAAGTCACCCCCAGGAGGGCTGGCCATGCCATAATCCCTTCTCCTTCATTCTCCTCTCAGGATTTGGGGCATGCACCCACACATATGCCGCGTGTTTTTCAAGCTGCCTGGTCCTGGACGTCTACCTGCCTCGCTCAGTAGCTAGGGTTACCAGCCATGTCACCCAGTCAGGGCCTTCAGGGTGGGCTGGGAATCAAACCAAGGTATCCTGGGTGACCTTAGCCTGCCAAGCAGCAGCGCCCAGCACATGCTATCGTGGCTGGCGTTGCAATTATCTTTCTATTGAGCCGTACCGCTCCAGAGATTCTGGGACTCTGGAGACTGGGAGGCAGCATCTTCCCGTGCCAGACAGTCATCTGTCCCCACAGCCTCAGGGGCTTTGCAGAGCAGATTTCTCAGTACAACTGTGCTGCTCCCTCCCTTGTCTGCATTGCAGGGAGGATAACCAGACTGAGAACCTCCGGCTCTCGACTCCCAAGTCCCAACCTCACAATCTGTTAATGGAAGGTTCTAGAGAGGAGGGGAGGGCTCTGGCCCTGGAAACCTCTCTGGAGAGGGGGAGGTCGGTGGACTCCTAGTTGTATGCTCATGGCGGGAAGCGGGTGCAGTCAGGAGGTTGAGGCTCAGAGATACCCATTTCTCAAGAATGTCGGTTTCTCCAGCCTCAGTCTCCAAACTGCCTGATTCTCACACTTCCATCTGGCTCCAGCCCCATATTCCCATCTCTTGCCTGTCCCTGAAGTCCCCCTTCACCTTCTCAGTGGTGGAGGCTCCTCTCACCTGTCAGAGACCGTTTGAGCTGGGAATCTTCTAATGAGTGGCGTCTCCTCAGAGCAAGGACAGCAGCAGCCGGCGTCGGCCAAGAAGCTCAGACACTTACACGCTCGTGTGTGTGCTTCGGTGTTGGGGTTGGTGGGAGCTCCAGAGGGTGGAGGGAAACTAAGGACACTGGGCAGATGCTGCTGCAGAGAGAAAGGCTCCCCAAGGCCGCGTGATTCCCCCTCTCTGTCCCTCCTCCTCCTCCTCTCCTCCCAGTTTGCTCCTCCCCTTCTGATGATGCGCCCACAGCTCTACTTTTTTTTTTTTCTTCTTTATGCTCTTCTTTGCCCTCTGTGAAGCACGCTCAGTGGTAACCAGCAGTTCCACCTTCCACTGCACCTCCTCCTCTGGGGTCTCTGCAAGTCTGTGACCTCCACCCAGAAACAGCTTCTCTCTGGCGCTGCACAGAACAGAACCAGGGGGGTAGTGGAGGGAGGTGGAAGTGAGCTGGGCAGGCGGTCCCTTCTGCCCTGGCTCCCCTCTACTTTCCACTCCTGCTTGCCGTGTCCTCCCTTGTTTCTCTGCGCCCAGTCCCTGCCGTGTTCTGGGTCTCTCTCCTTTAAAGGCTGCAGATGCTTGCTGTTCTTGGTCATGTTCTACGAGTTCCCCTCCTCTGGCTTTGCTCCAGAGACACTAGGGATCTGTGACACCGGAGTGGTAGGCAGATCCCTTGGAGAAATGAGAAAGAAGGGATGACCCTGGGTGTTGTAGGCTGGAATTTCTACACAGGGATCACCTGGAAGGAGAAGCTCTCTCCTCCAGCTCTAGAGATGGAGAGTGAAAGGGAGAGGACTGAGACGGAAACTGGGAGCCGTGCCGACCTCACCAAGCCTGGTGGGCATCCTCACCCGGTTTTTCAGGCTGGCTTAGGTGGAGGCAAGGCCTGTTGATGGACAGGCAGAAAGGAAAGGATGGAGGAGGTTTGACAGAAATGAGGGGAGGAATAGATCGAAGTAAAGAAAACTCCGGAGATGGCATTCAGTTCTGGCTGCTACCGCCATGGCTGTTGGGCAGCAGGTTTAATGGTCTGACAGAGGAGGTGGAGGGTCATGCAGACACAGGCCTGGGTGCAGCGTGCCCTCCCTTACCCCGCACTTGCTGGCATCCTCTTCCCCTTAGCCTGAGGGTTCTTGGCTCTTGTTCCTTGCACCGAGGGGCTAGGGGTAGGGCTGGGGCTGGGGAGTAGACAAGAACGGGAGAGTCCGGGCTGAGGAGCAGTGCACCTCCCAGCCCAGTCATGGAGAGTCACCTTCCAGCTGGGGCTGGTAGTTGGTATTGGTTCTTAAAGGATATAAGTATGTGAAAGACAGTCCTGTGGTTAGCCTAGCAGCCTGGAGCCTTGGTCATGTTTTCTGTGCCTGGTACTGGTGGGATGGGGGAGCAAAAGAGGACCAGGCCAATTCCAGAGTCTCTGTCTTCAGTTCCCTGGAGCCCTGGGAGAGGAGACGGTGATGCTGCCCTCCCTGAGAAAGCACAGGACGGTGGGCTCTCAGGAGCATCCTTAGTTGCTGGCATGAAGCGGGCAGGAGGGGCGAGAGTCTGTGCTGCTTGGGACGAGGTTCTAGCCCGCACAGCCTTGGTGTGTCTTCCCCTTTGGTTTCTCAAGCTGACTTGGCCAGGTCCCCCCGTGTGGCAGGAAAGATCAGAAAAGCTTGGCAGTGACACGGTTACCCCCAGAGTTCTTATCCCCAGAGGGCCGAGGTGCCACAAAGTCAAAGGTCACGTGATGTTTGACCCGGCCCTTGCCCTTGCTCCAGAGGGCAATGAGACCAAAGCAGAGGGTCACGGAGGTGAGGAAGGGGAGGAAGCCAACAGCCAGTACCATTGCCACACCCCTACTATCCAGAAAGAAAGGGCCTGGGATGGCAGGCAGGGTGATGTTAGGGTCGGAGAAAGTGCCGTTTGGTGGCTCAACTTGGATTACTTCCAGCCAGGTCCTCAGGGAGTCGTTCCCAGCTACGTTGCTGACCACGCAGACATAGGCCCCTCGGTCCCGCAGCTGCACGGAGCGGATCTCCAGCGTCCCATCCTCTAGGACCCTCACTCTCCCAGCCTTGCCCAGCCAGCCGCCCCGCGGCCTCATCCAGGACACAGTGGGGGCTGGGTCTCCATCTCCAGAGCAAGAGAAGACCGCGTGTCCCCCCTCCTCAGCAATGACCCAGCGAGGCCCGGACTTTCGGATCAGGGCTGGCTTGCAAGTAAAGTGCCCTGGAGGTAGGATGTCGGAAAAGTCCCTCAGGCTCTTCCCCTGGACATGCTGGGGGCCAGCACAGGCAGGGGGGGATGTGCCAAAGTCCAGGTGGCGTCGGAGCCGGAGCAGCCAGAGGAGGCGGCAGTCGCAGGTCAGGGGGTTGCCAGATAGCCTCAGGGTGACCAGTTTGTCCGGAGAAGGGAAGGCTGTCTCCTCTAGCGTCTGAAGGGCGTTATCTGCCACATCCAGGAGGTGGAAAGCCGTCAAGCCGTGGAAGGCGTGGGCAGCGATGGAGGTGAGACATGCCCCTGACAGCCGCAGCTCCTGCAGCCGCACCAGGGGGCTGAGCTGCCGGGCGGGAATGGCAGAGATGGGGTTCTGAGACAGATCCAGGACCCTGAGGAAACTCAGGTGGTGCAGCGCTTGGAAAGGCACTGAGCTCAGATTGCAGCGGGTGATGGCTAGGCTGCTGAGGTTGAGCCCCGCCAGGCTTCCAGGGTCCAGCACCTCCAGAGATGGCCAGTGGTGGATCTCCAGCTCCTTCAGCTGCCCCAGCCCCTTCAGGGCCCCAGCGGGAAGCCTCCCGATATCCAGTTCTCGAAGCCTTAGGGCCATGAGTGCTGGGAGCCGGGCAAGGGCGAGGCCAGGCACTGTGCTGAGGTTACAACGCTCCAGGGTGAGGGTACTCAGCTGGGCCAGCCCCGTGAAGGCTCCCGGAGCCACAAACACCAGGTGGTTGTCCCCAACCTCCAGCTGCTGGAGGCTGCCTAGCTCCCCAAAGGCTCCGTCTAGGAAGAGGACGATCTGGTTGAGGCGCAGGTCTAGCAGCGTGAGGGCAGACAGGCCTGAGAAGACCCCGGGCCCCATGATTCGGAGCCGATTTCCTTGCAGCCTCAGGGTGCGTAGGCTTTGGAGGCCGAGGAAGGCCCCAGGCTCAAGAGTGGAGAGCTGGTTGTAGCTGAGATCCAGCTCCTGGAGCAGGCCCAGGCGGGAGAGCATTCCTCGCTGCAGCCCCCACAGGCGGTTCCCACTCAGATCCAGGAGCTCAGTGTCCAGGGGCAGCCCCCCAGGGACAGCGTCCAGTCGCCTGTGAGCACAGAGCACTGCCCGGGGCTGGGAGGTGCAGTCACACACCGCAGGGCAGCTGCTGCCGCTCCCTCCGGGCAGGAGGAGCAGGACGAGGAGGGGCGGCCATGGGGGCCAGGCTTGCTTTGGCGCTGTGGCCACATCCATCCCCTCTTCAGTCCTGGAAGAGATGATGACAGGGCTCTTTTTGGAACGTGGCTTCAGATGGCGACAACCCTGGGCTTCCTTGGCCCATTGTGGAGGGGAGAGGGATTGGTCTGACCTTGTCCACATTGCCAGCAAGCAGGGCACAGACTGGGAAGAATTCTGGAGCACTCCCTGGGGCTTCTGGGGGCTCCTCCCTGGGGGACCTCTACTTCCTTCCCCTCCCACCCTGGATAACTAGCTTACGGAAACTCAACTCGGAAACTCAAGCCTGATTTCTCTGGGGAAGGTGTTATGGGAATGACACAGGGAACAGGAGGGAAGTAACTCTGAGCCCCCTTGTTGAGCTAGTAGTGGGTTTTTCTGTATCTGTGAGATTCAGGAATACCTCAGGGCCCTTCCTTCTGATAGCTGTTCTCTGCAGGCTCTGCTCTGTCCCCCTCTTCCCATTCTCTTTCTCCCATGGCTGTGCCTGAGGCTCAGGAAGATCTCATCGTTGGCCCAGAACTCTCTGTCCTGATTGGGAGAGGGCTTCACCTTGCCTGAGTCACCCAGGACTGGACACAGGCATACCCCAGCGCTGCCCCCCAGGCTCCGCCTTCCTCCAGCCTGGCCCAGAGCCTGAGCCCTGCACTAGCAAGATGCAATCTCCCCAGAATGCCTGTGTGGACGACGGCCAAGCCACACATTAGCCATGGCCAGGATGCAGGGGCACCTGACTGAGAAACTGGGCATCCCTCACAAGAGGCCCAAGGGCAACCCTTCTTCCCCAGGAGATGAAGTTGGGGGGTGTGAGAGATTCTAGATGTGGAGTTCTGAGACGTGCTCCTCAGTCTCTGGCTTCTCTTGTACCCCTCCTCCCCCGATGGTGTCTAGATTTTAGTGTGTAAATCTGAGCGAGCGTTCTTGTCACCTTTGGCCTGAGGTGTCTGAGCCATTCATGATATATGACCAGACGCTGCATGTGCGTGTGTGTGCGCGCACGTGTGTGCATGAGAGGGCGGGGCAAGGGCCCCTTGAGCTGACATGGCAGCTACCTGGGCACGGGCAGTGTGCAGAGCCCGTCAACTTTTAAGGTGGGATTCTGGGTACCAAGGGCCAGGCCGTATCAGGAGGACGGTGACTGCATTCGGCCCTGGAGGCTGGCTGAGTGATAGAGAAGGGGTCCTCTGGGTGGTGAGAGCCTCTCTGTTCCCAGCCAGCAGGCGCCCCAAGGGAGGGGAAGTATTGGGATTGGGAAGGGATGGCTAAAGACAGGAACAAGAGCTGCTGGGGCTCCCTACGAGCAGATCTTGATCCTGATCGCCTTCAGGCATTCAGGCTTCAGGCTTTCCGGGTCCCTGCAGGGTCAGCTTCTTACTACATGCCCTGCTTTCTCCCACGTGGAGCGAGGCAAGGCAGTGAGAGGGACAAGGCGATTTCCTCCCCCTTTTCTTGCCACTCTACACCCTCCTCTAGGACGATTGCCCTCGTGGCTCTCCTCCAGCCACTTCAGAGGATTGTAGTAGTCAGAAGACTAAAGAAAGAGACCAGAAGAGCGGAGGGACGCAGGAAACTGTCCTGAGGCTCCGGGAGGGGAAGACTGGCACGGGGGCGAAGGCGGTTGATCGGACTCCTCTTGCCCCTGCCCCGACCTCACAGGTATCTATGGTGCGGAGAGTTCTCCAGGGAGAGCCATGGCCCGGCATTCTCACTGTCCCTGTGCCTGTTCTGGGAAGTCCACCTGACAGCTAGTTCTTCCTCACGCCGCTGCGGTCCCTGCTCATCCTTTTGGCTCTGCATTCAGCAGAAGTGCAATGAAGCATGGAGCCCAGCCTCCTTCCTTCCTGCTCCTGTGAGTTTTCTCTCAGTCCCCACCGCCTGCTGGGCCAGGGGCTGGGGCACCTGGGACCAACCTCTTTTATTTATAAGGTGGCTAATTTAATCACAAACTTCCCTCTCCCACCTCCGTGGCTGTAGGACTGACTTCCAGCCTCTTTACGTGTGTGTGTGTGTGTGTGTGTGTGTTTGTGTGTGTGTGTGTGTGTTGGGGGGGGTGTTGGAAGCTTCTCTCTCCTTCAGTGGGGTGGGGTCTGGGGTGTCACCCCCTTGAGGGCAGAGAGCTAGCTTCTTGTCCCTGTGTGGCAGTCCAGGGACACATCTGAACTCAAAACCCTCTTTAGAGCACACCTGATTGAGGCATGGGGACCTGCATGGGGCGCCGGCTCCTGGGGGGAAGGTTTCTGGAATATCCACACTGATAATGGGGGAAAACCCTTCCCAGGGGTGGAGGGAATGCTAGGGAGATGGAAGAAGGTCTCCGTGGAGTCCTTCCACCCAGGGCACCTGGGACATTTAAGTTCCCCCATGGAATTCCAAAGGGACCAGGAATTGGTTGGAGCGGGGTGGGTGGGGGGCCCAAATCCTCTTGCCTTGTCGGTGCCGGTGGTGCCGGGTCTGGCCTTGTCACTGAGAATGTTATGGGAAAGGGCAGCTGCAGCTTTAGGACAGAGGGGAGGGGCACTTACCAGAGAAGCTGAAGGGTAGCATCAAGTTGGGCACCGCATCCGTCCAGGGCTGGGCCGTGTCCCACTGGAGCAGCACCTGGGCCCCGGCACCCCTCGGTGTGCTTCACTCCCTTCTCCCGCCCTCCCGCCTGCCCGCCTGCCTGCCCACCCGCTGCTGCCGCCGCTGCCGCTGCTGCAGCCGCCACCGCCCAGACCGTTG